TTCCATTTCCCATGAACACGCCCATTCTAAAAACTACAGAAAAGCAACTAAATACTACCAAAAAAACAAAAAACAAAACTATACACACTATACTCTTTTAAAGGTGTGTTACAAACAAGAGGACACTAATAGTTCCAACCAGGACCATATGGCGGTGAGAAGGACCTGGAGACGCCGTGGGTCCGCCTGGCCCTTTATCACTTCTACTTTCAAATTCTTCGGCTCCAGACACATGGTGCACATGCGTAATCCCGCAGTGGAATACAACAGGGACCATCACCCAAAGAAGAAAAAGTACTTCCTCTTGTTTGTATTAAACCTGCTGCCAACTAATTTCATCAGGTGACCCAGGCTTTTTATTGTCAAAATAGGTAATTAACACTTCTCTATTCATTTTTTCCACACCATTCGTGATTTTATAGATTTTGATCATATCACCCTAGATTTCCATGATGTTCCATCATCATAGTAACATGAAGTTCTACTCATGGGGAAGAGACAGAGCTCAACAACACCAAGGAGCTGTCTGCCAAGATGAACACATTGCATGGGATCACATTCAGGGGGCCAAACACAAATATGCATCATAACATGTAGTAAGGTTTCATAGTGTGCATGTCAAATGTTATTTTCCAAGTTTCTTGATTTTTTTCAAGCTCATACAGAGGCTATTCCTTATTGCAGAGAACGCCAAAGGAAAGGTATGAAACTTAATTTCAGATGTTTCAGCAGGGCCTGATTAAATTAATCCTACAGTACTTCAAGACCTAACTGAAGCAATCATCTCTGAGAACTCATGGAGGACGGCTCAAGTCCCAGAAGACTGAGGAAAGGCAAACATAGCATCGATCTTTAAAAATTATAAACCAGTCAGCCTAATTTCGATACCCAGAAAGATACTGGAACAAATGATTAAACAATCAATTTGTATCCTCTAGGCTAATAGGCTCATAAGAAATAGCTAGCATGGATTTATTAAGAACAAACCATGCAGTCCCACATGACTTTCTCATAAGCAAACTAGGGAAAAACGGTCTAGATGAAATTATTAAAGGTGGGTGCACAACTGGTGGTAGTACTGCTGAAAAAGATCTGGATCACAAATTCAATACGCGTCAACAACATGATGCAGTTGCAAAAAAAGCTAATTTTCTGGGATGCATTAACAGGAGTGTTGTATGTAAGACAGATACAGCCTCAGCTGGAGTACTGTGTCCAAATCTGGGCACCATACTTTAGGAAGATGCAGATAAATTGGAGAGAGTGTCCAGAGAAGAGCAAGAAAAGTGATAAAAGGTTTAGAAAACCTGACCTATGAGGAAAGGTTAAAAAAAACTGGACATGTTTAGTCTTGAGAAAAGAAGACTGAGGGGGACCTGATAAGGGATGTTAAGGGTTGTTAAAAAGAAACTGTGATGATTTATTCTTTGTGTCTACTGAAAGTAGGACAACTAATGGGATTAATCTGCAGCCAGGAATATTCAGGTTAGATATTAGGGAAAACTTTATAACTATAAGGATACTTCCTATTGGAATGGGCTTCTAAGGGAAGATGTGGCATCCCGTGATTGGAGGCTTTTAAGAAGGAGGTTGGACAAACACTTGTCAGGGATGATCTAGTATGAGGGACTCAACTAGATGACCTCTTGAGGTCACTTCCAGCCCTACATTTCTGTAATTCTGTTTCAGTTACTCAATGTGCAAAAGATCCCCCCAATAAATACATAACCCTAGGCCAAAACTTCCAAACCTGGTTGCCCAATTTTAGATTCCTAAATCTAAATTTACACACCTAAGTAGAAACATGTATTTGGTCTTACATTTTTTTTTTTGGTCTGCCTAATACCTTACATCTGACTTGCCAGAGTTTGTTACTTTCTATTTTCCTCAGTAGGATTTTACTTCCAACTTTTAAAAGATGTCTTTTATTTTCTCTAACTGCCTCTTAGACTCCTCATTTTTGTGTAGTTCCCTTTTTTGAAGTTAAATGCTACTGAGGTGGGTTTCTTTGCTCTTTTCTCCCGTACAAGGATTTTAAATTTAATTACATTAACTACAAATAAATCACTATTACCAAGCTGTTCAGCAATATTCACCTCTTGGACCAGATTCTGTGCGCCACTTAGGATTAAATCAAGAATTGCTTCTTTCTTCAGAGCACAAAGGACTTGTGATCCAGCTGCAGATCTTGGCATAACATAGGACTGAATCTCTTAACAAAATCCTCTCAGAACAGCTGCATTTTCATACATACAGTAACTCCTCACTTAATGCTGTAGTTATGTTCCTGGAAAATGCTACTTTAAGCGAAACGATGTTAAGCAAATCCAATTTCCCCATAAGAATTAATGTAAATAGGAGGGTTAGGTTCCAGGGAAATTTTTTTCATCAGACAAAAGACTATATTATGGTGTGTGTATACACACACACACACACACACACACACACACACACTATAAGTTTTAAACAAACAACTGAATACTGTACACAGCAATGATGATTGTGAAGCTTGGTTGAGGTGGTGAATTCAGAGGGTGGTGCCTTACTGCTAAATGATGAACTAGCACTCGGCTGAGCCCTCAAGGGTTAACACATTGTTGTTAATGTAGCCTCACACTCTACAAGGCAGCAGGAATGGAGGGAGGGGAGACAGCATAGCAGAGAGTGACAGAGACACACACCGTGTGTGTGAGAGAGAGACATGCATTGCCCCTTTAAGTACGCTGACCCCACTCTACGTACACTGTCTTTTTAAGTAGATCAGCAAGTTGAGACAGCAGCTGCTGCCAGCAAGCTCCCTCTATCCTGAGCCCTGTCATGTCCCTGCCCTGCTCTGTGGAGATGAGGTACAGGAGTGGGGGGCAGAAGCGGGGGGAGGGGTGAACACCCTGACATTAGCACCCCTCTTCCCCCTCCCTCTGCACAGCAAGCAGGAGGTTCCCGGGAGCAGCTCCAAGGCAGAGGGAAGGAGCAGCACATGGCAGTGTGGGGAGGGACAGCTGAATTGCCGGGCAATTGATAGCCTGCTGGGCGGCTACTGCACAGGGAACTTAGGGGAGCTGATAGGGGGGCTGCTGGTTCACCCTGGTTCCAAGCCCTCACCAGCTAGCTCCAACGGGCTGCTCTTCCTGCAAGCAGTGGACAAAGCAGGCGGCTGCCAAACAACGTTATAAGGGAGCGTTGCACAACTTTAAACGAGCATGTTCTCTAATAGATCAGCGACGTAACAACAAAACAACATTCATCGGGATGACTTTAAGTGAGGAGTTACTGTATATGAATGCCAGAATGTTCTTTTTAAGTCTAAATATTTCAAGTAATTATACAGAGACACTTAGTCTGTGGAGCCTTGAAGTATTCAACATCTTTTGGTAACATTTTTATTTTATTTTATTTCAGTATATAATGATACAAAATGATTCTCTCTCTCTCCTACAATTTGTTACTCTGGGTGCCTTTGGCATTACTAAAACAATAATATCACCTAATAAACAAAAAATGGCAGCAAAAAAACAAGAAAAACTCCAACAAATCCCTATCCCGACACAGCCCAAACAGTAGCTCTTTCATTCACCCAAACTCCCATCCCCCATAAATAATCACTCCCAACATAATCCACCATCTTCAAAACACCCAGGGGAACATGATGGGCCTTACAAAATGCTCTGGAGAACACCAGTCCCATAATGCTCAGGACCAAAGCAGAAGCCTGTTCCACAACTCAGGGCTCCTTACAGAGTATGTTCTACCACTAACCTCTTTTCTATTAAATCATGGGGACTCCAACAAAAGCACCTCTGCTGACTGCAGCAGTATGGTACAGGGAGACAGGCAGTCTTAAGTAGGTGGACCCTAAGCAACTTGTTTGACTCCATTTTTCTCAGACTATATTTTATTCTAAGTTGGGAATCCTTTGTGTGGTGAGACAAAGGATTTATTTTCACTCAGCTACATTAGGAATCCTAAAGTAAGGATGATCCTGAAGGCAGCCTCCATCCTTATGAATTTGTTCCTTAGTACAATGTCATTGCAGGTATTTCCAACATTTATCCTGGCGTTAATTATTAACCCTTTTGGGGATCACGGAAAGAGCTGAACGAACATCTAATAAACATCTTTACGCCCTATGGTTCTTTGCTTTTTCCATTTGCCCCAGATTAAATGAATCTGCCCACAATTAAAAGCAAAGGGCTTATAAGAGTTGGTTCTATATGTCACTCAGTTGGTGCTAGCATAAAGTATCTCATTATTAAGTATCTCAGTTTGCCTCTCTCAAAATCTAAAATAAGATAAATCAAACATTTTGCCACCAACTCAGAGTATCAAATCGATCTTCTTCATTGTAGATTCTTCCCCTAGTGGGACAAAATTAAATCACAGGAAATGGTCCTTGCTCCTAAAGTCACCCTGTATTCACAAATTCCACTGGACATGCCAGATACTAAAATCAAAACAGTACACACACGTAACGGCCAAAAAGAAAAGCTCAAAATTCAAAACGAAGACACCAAACCAAAAATAAACAAATTAGCAAAACCCACACGCCACACTTTCGTATTTTTCTTTGAGACAGGAAAAAAAACCAAAACAAATGAGGATAGCATTGCAGAAACTCCAAGTAATTACATGAATTGGTAAAGTTGATGAAAAATCTGAATGACCACAAAAATGGAAGGAAGCAATGAATTTCCGTGTCTCTAAATAACATACTTGCATCGCGTATCAGAAAAGAGGATTGTGACCTATTAACATACATTATTAGCCTGCTGCCATCTAATTACTTTAAAGTTGCCGTTCAATATTAGGATTTGTGTTATTTTTGTTTCCTGATTATGAATAAAGAAGGTCTGGAAATAGTTTTTGTTTGTTTGTTTTAAACTACACACAGTAGGAATAATGAGACAGACTCTCAGTTGAGGCAAACTGGGATAATTCCATTGGCTACACTAGAGTCATGCTGACACCAGCTGAGGAGCCTGGCCCATTACGACTTGTCTTACCTGCTGCTGGGTGAAGAGTCTCTGCAGCCTGGAGAACTAGTAGGATTATGACATCACAAGAGACTGAAACCTAAGGAAGCAAAAAGAGGAAGGGATTTTAGTCAGACTATTTAAAAAAACTTTGATTTTTGTTTACATTATCACCTATTTAACTCTCAATTCCTAATACCCACTCAGGACAATAGTTCATTATGAAAGATTCAACACTTCTGCCACAAAAAATTGAGGGCAGAGAAAACTCCTACTGCAATTCTCCAACAAAAACAGGTAAAACAAGATTTGATATTTCTAAAACTGGAGGGGGGAGTCCATTTCTTTTTACAGCATGAAGATGCAAAAAAAGGGATCAGCTCCTTTCCCCATTTCTGTTGGTCATTAAAAGGTCTTCCATTGTGTATTTACCACATTCACTTACTGAGAAGTTAAGTTTGACATGGATCATGAAAAAAGGAGATGAGAAAGAGTTTTATGAAGTGTATTCTGTCTGTAAAGTGCTTTCTGATCCCTGAATGGAAGATACTATATAAAAAGTATAAATGTTTACTGCAAACTACACTGCTATCAGCAAAAGACAAATTGAAGACATGTGCACAAACAACACAGAAGTCAAATTGAAGCTCACACAAATGAAACTGCCAACACCAAAGCATCTCTGGTCAGAGAAAACACCTGTTTACAAAGCACCCGCTACAAATAAAGAGCTATTCTTCAGCAGAGAAAGATAGTCTGCAATTTTCCCCTTGTAGTGACATATTTGTCATTGTTTTTTTTCCTACTACTGTACTTAAAACTTAGCACTATTTATTGTTTAGTAAGAATATCTATCTGAATAATCTGATTTTGATAGATTAAATTTAAAGCAGTGATAGTTTTAGATTAAGCCTAAATTATCCTGCAATAAAATCTATGGCATCATAATTCAGTTCTTGCCTTAGCTTGGGTTTCCTCAACTGCGATAGATTTTTCCCCACTTAATTTTCTCCAAAGCAATTAAAAACTTCTCTTGTCTTTGCAGCATAAGCTGAATCTAGGTAGTTTTAAAAGAACATCCAAATCAGAGTTTGAAATGAGGTGATGCTAACACTTATCCCTACAATCAGTACTATACTTTCCAGACTGGCCATTGGCAATCAGAGAACTATTTTCCCATAACCAGCCACCGAGTTGGGTAACGCCTATGCCTAGAACATTCAGCCTGATCCCCTGACAATCGAAAAACAACTGAAGCAAACAGAAAAGTCTTCAAATACCAGCCAGGAATACCAAACAGACTCTCTTGCACCCCAATGGCACTCAAATAATAATCAAAATGATCAAGGGTACATGACAGGTTATTAAATCCTCAGAGTGAAATTCTCTCAACTACAAATGACAATGATGACAAAACCTGAAGTCAAATCACTCCGTAGCAAGGCTTACAGGAAATTCACTGTGAATGAGTGGCATTGGATAGCTCCTCACTCAAGCTGCCTGGAAGAGTGCTTTTACCACACCTCAGAATATTGCCTTATGTTAACTGCATTAACTGCTGCTAAATTTTCCCAGTACATTCAGGCAGCATGCACCTGCAGAAAGTGACTGCATCAGGCAAGCCTGAACATTAAATTGATGTCAAAGGATGACATCAGCACACAGGTGCAGTGAAGTACATCCAGCTAAAAGGTTAATCCTCGCTCAGTATTTGGGATAGTTAATCATCTGCACAGGTTCCCTTTTCTTAGGTACTTTTATGGTCTTCATTCCAACAGTAGTCAAGAGTCTATAAAATCCAAGTGCTTTTTGAAGGGGCACTCCCAGCTGGAGCTCTCAGAGTTAACACGATATTACACACGTGTCCCTGAGTCCCACTGCCTATATTAGTGGTTTACAATCAGTTTCCATAAAAAAAAAAAAAAAAAAGATTTCTCGCTCCCCTTTCACTACCTGTAAGACTCTCAGAAGCAGGGGAAACTGACTCACTATATAAAGGAAACAGTGTTCATGATTATTCACAGAGTGTTGTCAAATGTACATAAAGCAAACAAACAAGAACTAGAGACTAATCTCTTTCAATTGTAATAATCATAGGTGTTTCCTGTAATACTAAGAGATTGGGAAAATAATACTGTCAGGGGTGCTGTTAACAGCATACATTTACAATCTCTTTAATTCATCTTTTTCTCATGTAGGATGTAATTAATTATTATTCAGAAAGCAACGGTACACCACATGTGCTATAAACTTTTTCCATACACAGGAAGACCCAGACCCTGGGCTCTAAGAGCATGCATTCTAAAGTTCTCATCTACTTATTGTTTTAGGTGGATAACATGTAGAATGCTAAGACCTCCTATTGGGATAAACAGAGAACAGAAATCACAGTAAAGCCTGTACTAGAGACCATCTTTATTAAGCAACTGCACGTCTTAGAAATTGTTCCAAAGTATTCCCAAATGGTTTAAATATAATTCTCCTCCTCCTTTACTAGAAAGCGGTCTCTGTTAAGTAACAACTTTTTTCTTTTTTAAATGTTCATGCCCTTTGCAGAGGAGGAATATCTCCCATGTACAAGTTATATACGAAACTGGGTCCTTCATAAGACTTAGGCCAGAGAAACCTGTAAGGGTATCCCTTGAGGGACAACAAGTGATCACAGTTAGAATGAGGTAGAAAAAGTAATCTAAGATCTCCATTGTAGTTGGTATCAGAGAAACTCAGGACAAAGTCATACCTAGGGTTATATCAGCTTTGCATTCAGAAAGGAATCTGAATCAGCATGTATGAAATATGGTATGCAGGTGGCACACTGGGACCACTGCTAATTGCCCAGCCCAAGAGCTGGACTGTACTAGTAAGGCATGTCATAAAGATATCTGTTGCATATCTTTGCCTTTAAAGGGCTTCCCTAGTCAGTCTGGAACTGTTTGAGACTGTCCCTTTTCTGAAGCACAGAAAGCAGATCTTACAGACTAGATAAAGGCCTTCTACCTGCACTATGACGATGGAAATCAAATGCTCCTGGAGAAAAAACCCAGGCAAGAATGAAAACTGAAACTGACAGCTTTATTTTATGATGCCTGAAGACCACCTGTGAATTTGATAAATGACCTAGTGTAGGAACCATCCCTCAATCGTAGGTAGTACCCAGTAAGGCTAAATCCATCTTAATAGAAGAGCCAGGATTTTTGGTGGGAAGGTTTGCTTTTTATCTCCAAAAGGGGCAGGGTGAGGGGCAGTGGGGATGGGTAAGACAGAGATAGGATGTAAAAATACAAATACTGTTGGCATAAGAGTTTATTAAGTTCAATGTTGCAGAGGACAAAATCCCCTCATATATGTACTATTTTCCATTTTGTACAAATCACAGTTTTATTATGAGCCTCCTGCACACTCATTCATACCAATAAAATGTATTTGGGGAAGGAATTAACTGACTTTTGCTGGTCTCAAGTGGTTGTCTAAGAGAAGTTTTTAACATAGTTCTTGCTTCTTTGTATGAGACCAAACAAAGGTACAATGGAATAACTAGTAGTTGTTATTTTATTAAAATCATTAGACCTATTTTCTGCAACAAAATGGGTAAATGCTAGGCCTCACATGCTTGAGAAACAGTTTTGCTTCTAGGACCTCTTGAACTTGTGGCTTTACAAGTTTATTTAACTGTGCGTGTTTTTACAAGAACCTAAACAATCAAACCCCTTCTAGAGACTCTTTTTAAATTGCCAAAAAGCTCATGAGAGTTGGCTCTTTCATAGCACTGATGTTTTGCAAGATGCCACCATAGAAAACAGGATATGCTGCACTGTCTTAGAGCTCAACAGCAGAATATGCTACACATGAACACCTACTAAATTTAGGCAGCTCTTGTTACTCCAGCCAGTGTCTGATTTGAAACACGTGTTGTTTTCTCAACAGTACCCACAAATACCTTTTGTTGTGTAACTATAGGAGATCTGTTCATTCACTGAACTGATTTGGGACAACTCTTTTATGACTGAAACCTAAGCAGATCTACATATAAGTTACTGCATGGTGGACAGGAAAATGAAACGTCTGGCCTCCTCTACATACAACCTTGCTTTAGTTTAATTAAACTAGTTCAAACCCTTGAGTGGACACTCTTATTTCAGTTTAAGGGTGGCTTGTTTTGGTTTTGCTTAAAACTAACTTGGACTGAAATAAGCCTGGCTTAAACTAATATGAGAGTCTCAACATACCCTTTTTTTTGCATTGATTTAACTAAATTGGTTTAAAAATCACACCTTAAATTAAACTGGTACAACTCTGCATGTAAATAAGTCCTTATCTGCAAGAAAAAAATAGTGGTTTAATTATAGTAGTTTAACAATAATACTTGGCACTCTCCTGCAGAATCAGAACTTTGATAAGAAAAATATAAAAAGCTTCCAGTTCTTGCAAAGATAACTTTTTGAATGTGGACCAAGCATAACCAAAGTACTGCTGACTGCCTAAGTCCGGAGACAGCTACCGTGCCCTCTGCTGTGGTCATGAATATTTTCAGGCTGGAGCAAAGAACAAACACACTGCTGTTCAGAATCTTGCAGGCCAAAGTGAAACTGACGATCAGGTTAGTTTTATTCTGCTGTTGCTGGCTTGAGAAAGTCAGAAGCTATTCACTGGAGGAGAAATTAAAAGCATCAGAAACCCATGGAGGTTGATGGGGGGGAAAGGAACAGAGAAAGAGCATGTTTTTCTCGTGAATATATTTGAAGGCCCCAGCTCCGAACACTTCATCACTTACGTATCTAGAGATGGATATCAAAGAAGTGGTCTCCCAAGCAAAGTTCAGGGGCAGCAGCACCCTGTCAGGAGTTCTAGAAGTCTCTTCAGACTTGTTGTGATGGCTGGACAAAGAGGAAATAATGAGCTTCTAATTAGGTCTTGGCCCCTGGATCTAACTTATGCAGTCTCCCCTCATCTTACTCAGCCTCTGGCTAATATCTGGTACATTTTCTAAGACTGTAGATACACAAAAACAACAAGGAGTCTGGTGGCACCTTAAAGACTAACAGATTTATTTGGGCATAAGCTTTTGTGGGTAAAAAATCCACTTCTTCAGATGCGAAAGCT